AATAGGACTTAATTTTAGAATAAGCTAGGCTAAGACATATATGTACTACTCAAGGGCAGAAAGACCGATTGGGTCGATAGCCTTTTTCTATAGGAAATAAAGAGTATTTATATATATATATATATTCCTTAGGGGAACTTTCATGTCTAAATTAGAATCCCCCAAATTTAATTTATAAATAATTCCTCGTCTGGTTCAAAAACAGTTTATTCAGTTCAAAAATGTTTATCTATTAATAAAACCCATTCTCACACACAAGACCCCTATTAGACCTTGCAGCTTTGAAATGGTGATATGTTTTTAGACAAAACAACATACAAGCCTGATATAGTTTAGCTCAATCTAAAAGGAAATTGTATAAATTTTTCAAATAAATAAAATAATTTGGTAAACACCATAAATAATTATTTAGTGTTAATAAAATATTTTTTTTCATTTAAATATTATATGAATGGTTAAATTATCATACTACTGCTCGTCACTTGAATACATTTCTGATACAGTATCTATTCTTCAGACGATAGGTTTTGCATTTTGACACTTTTATTCACCACACAAGTAGTTTGGTTGTTGCAAACTAATGCAGTACTTCTAGCTTGATTACTATTGGTTTTGAGCACTACAAGGTAAAATGTTTCTCTCAACTAGGTATTCATGAGTTACAAACTACTTTTGTCGATTACTTCCCTGCCACACTTCCAAAAACAACAGCTAGTTAGCTAATAACTTTGTTGTAACCCTACAATTGATATTTTTTTAAATAAGTCAAACGTGCACAAATGTAGATAACGACTTTTGCGCTAATTAATGATCGCAACCCTAAACACTACACAAATAAGAGTAAAAAACCGGAAATATAAAATCTCAAAACTTTGATCTTCAACCGCTTGTACATGTTTAGTCAATTTCAGCTTGATGCTGGATGAAAGAATAATATTTAAATGGATCTTTATTACAAGCCCTAGAGACAGAACACTGATATGTTAGCGCAGAACAAGAATTTTAGTCTCTTTTGAATGAAACGTACCTTCGCAATGTTACGTATGTCGATTACTTACTAAGTAATTGCATCGCCAATTGAAATTTTTTAAATCAAATCTTCATTTTCAAATATAATGACTTTAAGTTTTAGTTTAGCCATTTCAGAGCTTCCAGTTAGTTCAAATTTTGGGTAAAAAGTCGAAAATCATAATTTCAAAAAGTTACTAAGTACTTAGCTTGCCTAGTTTGAGACGATAAATAGTGGAAAAGCTGATATAATCTATGTAATACAGGAATTGTTTGCCTCAACTAGTTATGGAAATAATTGAATTGTTTAGAATCGAGATATTATTAATATTTCGTATTTAATAATCGAAATAATACTTCGAATTAAATCTAAGGTGTTAATGCAATAGTATTGCATTCTCAATATTGATATCAAATACGATTCAATCAATGATTGAACTCGATATAATAAATTATCGTTTACCGAAAATCTTCTCGATAATTTCTGAAATTTAATTAAGTGAATAAATGTAATTCATACACATAAGACAACGTAATCCATTGTGTTGATTGTTAAAATTACCTTAATTTATACCGAAAAAATGAAGTCATTAGACATACACACAGTACTGTGTTGAACTAATCAATCTTTTATCCCTTTATAATCGTGCATTTCATTTATGTTTTAAAATTTTCGTAAATTCTGGGAGAACATGCCAACAACTTTCAAATGCATGAAAATATTTCTTTTTGAGCTTCCAAAAAGTTTAAATTTAAGCATCACAATTTAATGATTGTGAATGAATGACTACATTCATTAACACGCAAAGTCTGTTAGAAAAAGTCTTCATTATTTTATATTGTACAGTTAGTCTTTCTTTTAGCAATCTTAGTTAGACAGATTGCTAAAAGACAATATTTGGAAAACTGAAAAATTGTACCAAAGAGTCACTATTCCCCTGACATCAGGAGTAAAGTACTTACTCACTTCATTGTCATATAAAATAAATTAGCAATTCCACATACCCCACATGTATATGAGAATTGCTAGTTTTGCAATAAATGGCCATCCAAATTATATTTAGAAATTGTTAGCTGCTGTTTTATTTGATAGTCTTACCTAGATTATGAGTTCTAGTATGAAGGCTTTTCACGTGCCAAAAAAGTTTGTATATTTAGAAAATATATAAGTTTGCAAACTAGACATATAAGTATGTACAATACGATATCGTAACGTAATAGTTGTGTTATGGATGAATTATGTTTCAGTTTTGCTCCACACCATCTGGCGATTTGTCACTTAGAAAATAAACAACTCCCAATTTGGAGAATGAACCGAAACCCTAGTTTAGTGAAATTGGCATTGATCAGACTAATTTGGTGAAAAGGTTACTCTGCAAGCCATAATGGAAAATAATAGATATATTTTACAAGTAAGGGTTTTACAACGTTTATCCAATTTGCTTTCAATATCAGTCGATCATTGACTTATTTAAGTACCTATATCAATTTATATAAAATTGCTACTTTCAGGTGTATGTGGGGGCTTTAAGTAGCCTCTATGAGGCACTCTCTGTTGAAGCCAGCAAGCAGACTACTTCAGAAGAGATAGTCTCTTGTATTGTCGAAAGACTCTCTTTAAACGAAAATGCCTCTTATGAACTGGCTGAGGTATGTGCCAGCCTTATTGCTGAATATGGTCAAATTTCGTATGCGGCTTATTGAAGCTAGTTAAACATTTATGCAGTAATCATTCTCTATCTGAGTTTTTTTATTTTATAGGTTATTGGGGATGATTTTGGTCAGGAGTGTAAAGAACGGAGTCTTTCGAGTCAGGAAAGCCCGGTTCAATTAATGATGCTCTGGCCAAAACATAGGCCAGATAATACATCTTATAGATTCTACCTTAGAGAAAAAGTAGTGGACTACACGTGGCGAGCGCGATTTGTTATGGATCCCCAACTAATTAAAGACTATTTTCATAGGTAATTATTGGGTATTTGATGTTCATATTAACAATTTAGTCCAAACTGATTATCGATTATGGTAAAACTGTTAGCAATATCTAATCTTTACAGCCGGTATTAATTTCTGAACCAGTATTAAGATCAGCCTAAATAAACTGAAATCAATCATATAAATAAATACTCAACTCATCTTCACTAAAATCATAATTTTCATAATGAGAAACAACGTTTCGTAGTTGCAATACTTTTATTGCCCATTTTTACTTATAATTCCACTTTTTTCAGGTTTTTATATCAGCCGAAAGATAGAGAATATCCGGATCTTTGCCAGCTATCCGATCTCAACGAACAAACCCTTCTAGCCAATCTTCGCGAACGATTTGTAGCTGGCCACATTTATACTTATGTAGGCTCAATTTTAATTGCGTTAAACCCTTTTAAGTTCTATCCCATTTATAATCCGAAATACGTTAAGTTGTATCAAAATCGACGACTAGGCCCGAACTTGCCTCCCCATATCTTTGCCGTTGCCGATACTGCATATCATTGCATGTTAAAGGACAGGAAGAATCAATGTATAGTTATTAGTGGGGAAAGCGGTTCCGGAAAGACCGAAAGTACAAATTTTTTATTACATCATTTGACTGCACTCAGTCAGAAAGGATCACATGGTAGCGGTGTTGAACAAACTATACTTAGTGCTGGACCCGTACTGGAAGCATTTGGAAATGCAAAAACTGCACATAATAACAATTCAAGGTAATTAAAATATTTTATTGTATATGTCGCAATTTGTTTTACAAGGGTTTATCTATTGGTAATAAATCCATAACTTGTTAAGATTATGTAGGCTGTACGAAAGGACTTGCATTTTTTACCTTTTATAGATCTGGCAAATTATATTTGAGTTTATGCTCGTATGAAACATTAATTGAAGCATATTGGAACCGTTAAATATAAACAGTTAAATAAGCCTGGCTTTTACAAACGCAAGTATATTCCTAGGTGTGAATATATGAAATTAATAAAAATCACAAGTGTTTTTGTCACACTATTAAATAATGTAAATTAATATCTGAAAATCAAGATCAAATCAAGTAGTTTTTCTTATTATGTAGCGATGCATCTAATAAGTTTTTCGCTGTCATTCATTGAAACTGCTGAGTTTTCAAGCTCTTGGACTTTCAGCTGATGATCAGTTTGTTGTAAGTTTTGGAACCAATATCACCTCTGAAAATGCAAGCCACTTGTGCTTGTAAAATGTTAGAAATAAATTCTATTCTACCACGGAATAAAAGCTCAGCCAACTCAACAGTTTCGATTGAATTTTAATTGACCAGTATATGTACTATACTCTATCTGCATCCATTTTCTGTTTGTTAATATTCGAATAACTTGAAATATTGTTAAATAGGTTATAAATATCCTTAATTGAAAGTGGTTATCAGCTTAACACATTAAAGTTAACGCTTTCAATAGTATCTGTTTGATGTGACTAATTAATGTATATAGGTACTCTATCTGCAACTATTTTTGTTGTCGTGCTAATCTGTGTAATTTAAAACACGTCCAACATGTACTGTGCTTTAACTGAATGGAAAAATGTTTGAGAATTGCATATAGATCTTAATACTTCTTTTTCAGTCGCTTTGGGAAATTTATTCAAGTGAATTACAAAGAAAATGGAATGGTTCATGGAGCAGTAGTTCAAAAGTACCTTCTCGAAAAATCACGAATTTGTTCTCAAGGGCGCTATGAACGAAATTATCATGTATTTTATTACCTGTTAGAAGGAGCCAACGAACAAGAAAAGCTGCAGCTTCACCTCATGACCCCTGACAAATATTACTATTTGAACAAGTCATGTGCTGCTCTTGACAATGTGGACGAAAGTTATGAATTTTCTAGGTGAGCACGTAGTGTCATTTTTCTCCCATATGGCTTTTAATAGTACTTAATAAAACATCAATAAATTATTTGTTTGTATACTTAAGTACCATTTGAAAAGGTGTATTTTTATTTCAGACTGAAACAGTCGATGGAAATGGTTGGTTTCACGCCGGAAAAACAGCGTCGGCTTTTTTCGGTCTTGTCTGCCGTTTTGCTTCTGGGTAATGTGGAATTTCATCCGCGAAAATCGGCGTACCATCACGACGAATCCGTTGGAGTTAAGAATCCGGACGTAGTAGCCCTGATTTCTGAATTACTTAGAGTTAAACAGGAGACTTTAATGCAAGCTCTAATAGCAAAGAGAGCGAGAGCTTCAGGCGAAACTTTAGTAATCAATTACAGGTAATGTAATTTTTAGATCAATTTGAAATGAGTCACCTTAGTAGCTGTTTCACATGCGGCGGATAATTAATTTTTACATTGTGTAGGTTACCGGAGGCGATAGCAAGTAGAGACGCCATGGCCAAGTGTTTATATGGAGCGCTCTTTGACTGGATAGTCTTGCAAGTAAACCATGCACTATTCTCGAAAAAAGATACTCTAAGGTATGCATTAAATTACATGTCCATTCACATACTTGAATTTGCGATAATATTTAGTCAATGTGTAAATGTAAAGCTTAAGTAAATTCAAGATTAGAAAGTATATATATTGTGGTATTTATAAGTTTCTTATTTATATCATATCGATATTCTATATCTGATTTTTTCATGTATCATTTACAGAGAGCACCAAGGGAACTCCATAGGTGTTCTGGACATTTTTGGTTTCGAAGACTTTGGCCCGAACAACAGTTTCGAACAATTGTGTATTAACTACGCCAATGAACATTTACAATACTACTTTAATCAACACGTATTTAAATACGAACAAGAAGAGTATCGCAAAGAAGGAATCCGTTGGACCAATATCGACTTTATGGATAACACAGGTTGTTTGCAGTTAATAGAGGCAAAACCCAATGGATTATTATGCCTTTTAGATGATCAATGCAAGTATGTACATTTTGCCATATTACCATTTTGCAAATAATGTAAATTTTCAACTCCGTCCGACCTGCAAACTTGTTTAAACCTTCTCTAAATTATGTACAAGTCTATTCAAATAGAGAGAGAAGTTGTAAAACTGCCATGCTTAAAGTATTTATTTTCAAAGCAGTAAGCATTTTCATGATGATTTAAAGTAAACATGTTCAAAATACTAGAGAGTACTTTTGTATACGTGCCCGATAGATGATATCCAGTTGTTTGATTTTGAGAATCGAATTGTTTTTACGCTTTTCAGCTTTCCCGGAGCTACAAATGAAACATTGCTGCAGAAATTTAACACTGTGCACAAGGACAACACGTTCTATAAGAAGCCACAGAAAAAAGAAGCAGCATTTATAGTCGAACATTACGCCGGGAAAGTGAAATATCAGGTATAAAACAGTATTTTTTGTGACCGTGACTTATTAGCAATAATATGTATTCAGGTAACGGATATGCGAGAGAAAAACCTGGATCTAATGAGGCAGGATATTGTTGGGGTACTTAAGAACAGTTCGATGGCATTCGTTAGGGAATTAGTCGGTGTGGATCCAGTAGCGGTTTTCCGATGGGCCATCGTGAGGGCTTTTTTCAGAGCACAATTTGCCTTTCGGGATGCTGGTAAACGACACCGTCAAGGCAGAGTAGACGGCAATCGCAATAATATTCAACAGCGATACAGAGGAATTCATGTTCCCAACGATAATATTATAAGGTAATTAACATTTTTCTAGTTTACATACAAGACACTTAGTTTTATTCGCGGCAATACTGTTAGTGATTAATCAAAAACATTTATTTGCTAAGTTGCGAATCGATCTTATGATTTGTGGTTTTAATTTATGGATTAAAAAATCTGAATTCAGTTTAATTAATTAATTAATTAAAAAAGTTGTAAACCATTAATGATTTACATTGAATATATTTTTGGGATAAGTTTAATAAATTTGTGATCAATGATTTGAAACGCGGAAAGGCTAAAATCTTTCGAATCTTAAAACTTGAAAAATTAAAACCTGCTTTTATGAGTTTGTTTGAAGCACAGAAACTAAGCGCTTAAGATGAACGTTGCTTGAAAATCCTGATAAATATCTGCAATAGATAAATTTTATCAAACTAAGCTTATTCTAAAAACTAATTTTTGCGAGAAGCAGTGAGTGGAATATGTCTACGGTTCAATACCGAGATCATTGCAATCCCTATTGTGACTGCATTCGCTCGAAATGCCAGTGGATGTTAAGTTACTGCCGAGATCGGGAAATTTCGCGGAATCAGATTTACGGCCCTGCATTTTTGACTGATCACCGAATGCGCAATAATTATAATAAAATTCTATCGAGCAAGAGGGATGCTGGGTACTATTTTAGAGTAGTACTATCATGAAATGGATTATCCCACTCGATTTTTGAAGTGTTTCTTCCCAAGTAAAAGTAAACCAATCTACAGAACAAAGAAACAAAACCAAAATAACCTACTATAAAGTATATGGCTGGCGTGCTTGAGTCGCGCACAACCGGTTTCGACATTTGCCTAATTTTTCGACTATTAGAGGCTCAGTGAGATACTACGAAAAAATCCAACAAAGAACCCTGGCGTCAAATAGCTTAGGTACACGCTCGATTACATTAGTGCCTCTGAAGGACGCGGTTATTCCGAGATTGGCCTCAATCGCTTTCTTTCTCGGACTATCAAAAATCTTACCAGGCGCATGGTCGTCCGACGTAATAGTTTTGCGGGTGTTTAAGTGTGCGGCGTTTCTCGGCAAAAGAAGCGTTGAGACGGAGATGATAAATTATCGAAAACAAATAAAAAAATATGGAGAGATTCAGCAAGCGACGACGTCAAAAAAAAATGTATTTTTGAAAGATAGCAATACATCTTTAATGTTTAGGATTGTCATCCTTTGATTAAAACCTCAGTATCAACTTTGAGTTGAAGCTTAAGGTCGTGACAAACAGAATGTGGTTCTATTTAGGTATTTCAATATTTTTTGATTTACTTATAATTTCGCGCATATTATGAGCCATAATTAGGATAAATGGCTAAATTATGTTACTTGATCTAAGCTATTTAAGCTAAAGCTATGTAGTATATTTTGTGCACAATTTAAAACACGATTTAAATTCGATTTATTTTATGCACACATTTCATTAAGAAAAATTACACTTTCAACGAATTTGTAATTCTGTAGCCATCTGGTGACGGTTTCGGCTGTGAATCTCACAATTAACCGGATCGCGTAAGTCTGGTTCTCGGTTTTAATTATTAGTGAATTGTTTTTACTTTTTCTAGTGTCATTTTCCTTTGTCCGTCTTATTTTAATACTAGCAAATGCTTTAATCTACTTCAAATTTATTGTAGTAGTTTCAAGGTCTAATAAATACTCATCAGAAACGCGCATTCTACACGACAATCGATTTTATGTTTAAGCATTTGTTAGTAGTACTACATTGAAAATCTTCTTGTTTCTGACATGGTTCTTTATGCATACAAATTGGTGTCTTTCGTTAAACTGTATTGCCGTATAACTTGCTTGTTGCACCAGTATTTAGCTGTGGAAGTTGAAATTTCCCAGGCTATACATGCATTTTACATTTGGTTCAACATTTCTAATGGTTACCACAAGTTATGGTATTTTTCGATTTACCACATTTGCATGGTTTGCTAGTGAGAGCTTTTAGACGTGCTGGTTTATTTTTTTTAATTTCAGATCGCTAGTTTCTTCCAGTAGAGTAGACGTTAGGAACCATTTTCAGCTTTTAATTATTTCGGATTCGGTCTGTAGTTAAGCGTAATTACTTGATTGTTATCAAAGTGTATGCTTTTAAATGGGTCTATTTAATCAAATTAAAATATCAGTTACCAACAGTTAAATAGTTACACATTTCACAACAGGAACATTTTTTCTATATTTGACATTAACATTAATGTGTTACCTCCTCAGCAAACATCGACACACCACATCCTCTTTTCACCGATCAAATGATGAACCGACAACGAATCGCCTATCTTGGCCGCAATTTTATCAACGAAACAGATCGAATTTGTCAACAACGAAAACTAATGACGATGATCGGCAGCGTAGGGAATCGTCTACCTCCCAAGCCTCGTACACTTTAGAAAAGGTCCTTTGCCCAGATGAAGCCAGGGTAATTCAACGGGCTAATCAAATTGTGATGTACGTTATTAATCTTTGATTTGGTGGTGATGGAAATCGGTCATTGGTGCGAGGCTTCAGGGCATTCAATAGTTTTCTTATATTGTTTGGCTACACCACAGCACAGTGTTGTTTCCTTACTACAGGAGGCTTATTCTTTATAAATATCCTTCGGATACCATTGAAAACTTTGAAATTAATCATTTTTTTTTTAATACACAGACATTATTCTCCACTATTATTTTCTATAAATGTGCACTCGGACTAGGTTACTCTAATTCTGATTCTTTTCTCCTTTCACCTTATAACTGTGAAATTTTCTGTCTTTCTCAATAATCTGAGTTACTCAAGTCCATTCAAGACATTTTCTTTCCCCACGACACTTTTTAATCAAATATTTGTTTGTACCTAATAATATGCAGATTTTCGTTGCTTGTAATCGCATTGGATTTAAAACTGAATTTGTTAGTGGGAGCCCAAATAAAAAAGCAAAAGAAAATTACAGGAAGTGCTTAGCAAATTAATGGATATATACTTCAATTAGACAATATAGAGGGTGATCCATACATATACCGACGAATTTTTAGGGGTGGTAACGAACGAAGTTTTTTGCTTTATAAACATGTCCAATTACCAACCGTTTGCCTGATACAGGGAAATAAAATTTTCACTGTTTATAGCTAACAAGCTCACGGGTCAACTGGTTAGTTTATTGCAGAAAAGTAAATTAACTAGAAAATCAACATTTTAGATTTAAAAGTTTTTCGTATCACGCTTGCTTCTTGAGGAAAAAATGGATGAGTGATACATAGAATAAATTATGTAGTAAGAAAGCCAAACTATGGCGAGATGAGTTGATTATCAAAGATAGAAAGATAAAGAAGGACGTCTTATTCAGAATTTATATTTCTTCAATCGGGTGATGGTTCTGTTTTTTGTCAGCAGATCCGTTGATAGTATATTCGGATGAATTGATAATCTGTTTGTGTATCTGGAGTGAATGGTCGATGTTTCTTCAGTAAGTGTTTTTAGTTGTAGGTCCTTCTTGATTAATTCATTTGGGACAAACCAGATATTATTTACGATTTCTCTCTGGCATTTCGATTTGAAGCCTTTCAATAAATTCGATGTTTGATTTAGAAGTGTTACCCCATAGTTCAGCTCCATACATTCAAGTTGGTTTGAGCGTGCATTTGTATAGGAACACCTTGTTTTCGAGGGATAGTTTCGATTTTCTTCCTAGTAACCAATACATTCTTCGTATGTTTAGGTTTAGTTGCTTGCACTTTGTCCAGTGTGGGTGTTGGACCCAAAACGCGTCCCTGTGGAACGTCAGCTCTGATCGGGTATAGTCTTGAAGTACTTTCATCGGTTTTAACTTGGAAAGTTCTGTCTTTGACATAGGATTCGAGAAAATTATGAAAATTACTTGGGAACCATTTCTTGAGACAACTTGAGTAAACTCTTCATGCCGAACTTTGTCGAAGGCCTGGGCCACGTCTAGAAATACTGCAAAGCAATATTCCTTATCTTCAAAAGCATTCTTCATTTTCCTGGTTATTCCTGTTTATTTGCTCAGTTGTACCATGAGAGTTACGGAAACCAAATTGGTCATCAGGAATTAGCTTCTTCACAGATATGATTTTCTGGAGCCTCTTTAGGAAAACTTTTTCGCACACTTTAGCTAGAATAGGAAGAAGACTTATTTAGTCAGATTAGACTTTAAAAGGCCTTTTCCGGGCACTAAATAGATGAAGGTAAAAGATTATTGGAAGTTGTTCGGAAGGATGTCAGAATATTGGTACAATAGTTTGAGCGTGATTTCCGGCTGTGGAACATTGTGTAAACAATTAAAGAGAGCGAAAAACGTTTAATACTTTTTTTCAAGTGTTAAAAATATCTACAAAACTAACTAACTAATATCATTAAAATACGTTCATTTGTTTTCTCAAAAAAACGAAAAACATTTCTGATTTCAGCGTTTTTTTTTAATTTTCTAGAATTAATTTAGTTTTGCTTCAAAAAAATCGTACTATATATTTATTTTTCCTCTTTTATAGGATGTTATTCTTTATATTGTATGGTGTACCTGAGTGTTTAGTTTATTTGATTTAGTGTAGAGCAAATGAAAAGGTGAAGAGGATTTAATGGCGCTATGAATGAGAAAATTAAAATTTTCGATTTGGGTTTCCAATTCCTGAGGAGTTTTGAGAGATACACTACAATCTAAATTATTGTTTATAATAACTAAAGCTGGAAAACTACCGGGGGTTATTTGTTATATGCTGAATACAAAAACTGTTTTTTTTACAAAATGCGGCAACCTGAATATGCTGAACATGCTTGTCTGTCTTGATATCCCCTACCACCTAGAGTTTGTCCGTATATTTATGAAACACCCTGTACATCTTTGCAGCAGACCGTGAATATTAAGATATTTTTGAATAAAGTTCACGTGTTAATTATGTTGCATTATAAGAACAATAATTAATGGGACATTAATAACATATATAATTTTCCAGGTACGGGGTAAGTCAAAGTATTGCACAAAAATGTCACACAAAACTTGACTGACTTCCTCGCTATTTTCTGGACTTTGTAATACGATTTGCTGACTGTGATCAGCTGAAGGTGTGTCAGTTTGGTTTTTGGTATATTTGTCTTTTAGTTGAGTTTTCACGTTAATCAGTTGTTCATAGTTCTGCTGTAAAGATTATTGGATGTTTTGTACGTTTTTCTACGAGCCGAAACAATTATTTCCTATCAATTTTTTTCTGTCTTAATTGGTAGAAAAAATTATATTTTTTTGACTATGGCATGATGTTAATTCTGCTTGTTTTTTTACTACCTAGTTTGAATAATAACTTTCATAACAGCTTGCTTTGTACTAATAATAGTCCAACTGCATGCTTGGATGCATGTAGCTAAATGCTTTTATAATTGTGAAATTAACAATTTCTGTTAATAGGAAGAACAAGTCATTTCGACCACGAGAGCGCGGAAAGAAGGGATTGAAAAACCTACAGTCTGTTAAGACACTGGCCGGCAGAACTGGAATTACAGCGATGAATCAGAGCCAGTTAAATAAAGCGAGGAAACAGCCTATGACAGTTGCAGCTCAATTTCAACAAAGCCTTCATTCGTTAATGGATACATTAAATCAAGCTAATCCATTTTTTATTAGATGCATCAAATCAAACGGGAATAAAATTCCAAACACTTTTGATGCTGATACTGTGCAAAGACAGTTAAGGTGAGTTTTTTAAATATGATTTAATCACTCTATAGTTTCATAATAATTATTTTATTTCTTTTTTCTTGCACGTATGACACTTTTACCGAGAGCAATCTATCTAGTTAGTAGATCTAAGTTATCAACACCAGATTGGGCATTTACTTTCAATGATTGATTAAATATGATGCCTGTTTTGCAATTCGGCTTGACCTTTAGTTTTAATAGAAACTATATAAATCGAATTGAACGACCAATAAAGGCTTGATGTGTTTAGGGGTTTATTTTCGCTCCATATATTCTCTTTACGCTCTCTCTACGAACTGTTTTATTGTACAATATTTAATGTTTGCGATTATTAGGCAAAATTTGTGTCGTGTTTATATATTTTTTAGGTGCGTTTTTATTTCTAGTCCCTATTTGCTTTCTTTAGATGGGAATTTTGAATATATCTAATTTGATCGAAGATAAAGATCTTTCTGTAGTCTTAGTGGTCATGGTCAATGTCGACTTATAAAAATTTAACTTTATAAGGTTTTCGTTTTTTGTGTTTAATTCATTTTTAATATCGTTTATGAATAACTAAAAGTATTGAAAATTCAGATTCGAGCGGTTGATGATTCTCAATTTTATTAAACTGTTTCATTTTATAAACTGACATAAATTGCAGGATTACTACAAGCTTTAGTACACTTTATCTACTGATCATTGTAAACGAATTTATGATAAATTTATCTGTTAAGTGATACCTTTAGGATTCAGATGCATGTAATTGAATTTCTAGATACACTGGTATGTTAGAGACTGTAAGGATAAGACAGGCAGGGTTCAATGTAAGACTGACTTACGATGAGTTTATTCAGTTGTATCGAATATTGCTCCCAAAAGGTCTTTTAAGTTCGCAAGTGGATGTGAGAAATTTCTTAGCTACCTTAAACTTGAACCGAGATGATTATCAATTAGGTACGTACTTCCAGAGCATTCAGCTGATTTATCTTCATTCAAATGTTATTTCTGGAACATTTTATTACAATAATTATTCAAATGTTCTATTCAATACATTTAACTAATTTAGAAAATGCATCTGGTTCTGTAGGTACTTCAAAAGTTTTCATGAGAGAGTCTGAAAAGTATAAATTAGACTGTAAATTACATCAACAAATTATGGCAAGCATTATATCTCTTCAAAGATGGTTTCGTGCGTGCTTGGAGCGACGCAAGTTTTTACGAATGAAGGTATTTTAAAACGTATTTTAAGCATTATACAGTTATATAAATTATATTTCAAATTTCAGTCAGCGGTAGTTTTGCTGCAATCCTATTGTCGAATGTATCTAGTTCAGAAACACGTAAGACTGTTAATGGCGGCAGTAAAAATTCAGAAATCATGGAGAAGTTACAAGGCTAGAGAATGGTATAAAAAGTTGAAAGTTGGTTTGGTGTTTTTTCAAGCACATTGCAGAGGGTTTAAGCTTCGTCAAAGAATTGCCATGGGTCATTATGCAAAGAATAAACAGGTATTTGTCGCTAAATTTTGGTACTTAAGACGTTTTGCAACTATTTCTCTTAAATTTCAGGCGGTTAAGGCAGACCTTCCCCAACTGGAAGCGAAAAATGATGCGGTTATTACGAAAGTTACTACTAAAGACAATCAGGAACTGCCACAATTGGAAGCTGTTATAATTGAGAAGAAGATGCCCGATTACGAACAGTAAGAAAATTGAAAACTGAATGAATAAATTTGCAATTAGTGCTCTGGCAAGTGTTCTGGATTAAAAATGACAATATTTTTTCTTTCAGGAGTAGCATTGTTCACCAACAAGATTTAGGAAATTCAAATCCCAATAAATTAGCTTTAAGATCGACAGTTTCGTTGCCCATGGTGTCGCAGACAGGTTCATGTTATTATTCACCATACTTGAACAGTTCAGCAAATATGAATAGGTAACATTTGCATGCCCATAATCTGCAGCAGACTTAGAAAAAAATAGAATACATTGGCTATTGTTCTCGCAGGTATGATGATTTTGACCAAAGGAGGAAAATTACAAAATCGCATCAAACATTTGACTACTCGGATCTGGAATATTCGGCGCAGAGAAAAGGTAGCGGGGAATCTTTGGATTCACAAAGAAGTTTCGAATCTCAGCAAAGTACGGATTCCCATTTAAACAATACTGTTAGGGAGGCGGCTAAGCCAGAACCGCCACAGCTCGGTAAACAGTGGTCTAGCACGAGTACAACCAGCGAAACTCTTTCAGAACCAGGCATGGCACATTCAGCTCCACCGCTGATATCCCAAAGATTTAGTAAATTTCAGTCATCTGAGGAAAGTGACAGTTCATCTTCCAAACCTCAGCTTGTAAGGTCACCGGCTGTTAGTTGGGCGGCACCAACTGTTAAACGTGATAGCCGGTAAGTAGTTTTTTACTAATTAATTTCTACAAATTAGGATTGCTTTAATTTAAATTTTTGTTGTTTTCGTTTCGTTTTAGATATGTGAATGACACAATGAGGGGATTGAGAAGTTTTCCAGTTAGACGTCCAAGCAAAGCATTTGAAGATAGGCCCGATGTTTATCCATTTGACAATAAACCAAACAAGTTAGAAGAGATTTTAGGGCGACCAGAAGCACCAGCTAGAAATACCCGGAAAACTAAACGAAATCATGTGAAGAGCTTAGGAGAGGAGGTATTTTGACTCAAGAGATGACATCTAACAATTAATTATTTGCGTACCGTTTTTTTTTTCTTCTAAATTTCAGTTATTAATTACTGTTGGTGTAGATCCTCAGGGGCCTATGTCTTTTTTCAATATTTGTCTTTGATGAAAAAAATCAAACTAGTTTTGACTCAATATATGATTTTTAGTTGTATTTAAGCAATTGCTTTCTTACAAATGTGCAAATATTTTTGTGATAACATTTTCTTCCACAATTCCTGGATGTTTATATCGTTGAGCAGAGTTGCAAATGTTCAGTTGAATTGGCAGAAGTTTACTTAAAAAATGGTTTTAAAACATTTTCGATGGACTTGGAGGTATCAGTTTGCTATAGAAATGTGATTTTCCAGGTGACAGATTCAGGCAGTTTAGATAAAGGCGTATTAGGAACGATAGACGAAAGGAAAGCGCATACAGAGTTAAATAGATTATCTGGCACTTTTGTTCCTCCAGAAGTACCGAGCAAACAGTCCTTGACTCCGAAACGGCAAAGGCAGAATCTCACGCAGTTAGATTTGCGAAGACGTAATAGTGACCCTGCGACTAAAGTACTTATTAACGATTCAGGTAAGATAAGCAACATTGCTAGTTCTGCTCTGCTTCGTATTTGACAAGTATGATAAACTTCTTAAAAAGTATACATTTGTAAAAAATCTGGTGTGGGTAAGCTAATATTGAATTTAGTTGAAATAGGTTTATTTGTTTATTGCAGGCAATGAAACTAGTCCAGCTATTAAAAGCAATGATAAGTGGAGTGATTTTAATAATTTGGATTTGGCGGGTCACTCCTTACGAAAAATCAATAGGGTTTCGAAAGATGACGTATGCTCATTCTGCAAACAAAAATTGGATATGTTCATAACTCAAGGTTACAAGTGTACGTCTTGCAAAACCCTATTTCATACCAAATGCATTCAAAATAAGGGCGTATTTGAAATTCCGTGCGAATCACACAGACCTGGAAGCGATCCATCTAAACACAGTAGGAGAAAGCTGAGGAAGCATTCCAGGGCACCGTATGATTTAAACAAATCCGAAGAGGCAAAGTTTAGTCTTACGGGAACATCAGAATTTACCGATAGAACTGATCAGATTATCACAGGAGCGGAAGAATTAAACTTAATGCAAGCATTTATCGCTGAGAAAATTATGAAAATAGAGAATGACGGTGGAAAATCAAGTGAAGTGGATAAAGTGTTCAAGCAAGCGCTGAGGGAGTTTAAAAACAATTTAGTCCAAATTTATAGTGCTGCATCAAAACATAACGGCATAGAAGCGTGCAACATTAGATATAAAGACCTCATTAGTATTTTTAATCAGGCTATGGAAACAGTATGTCAACGTGAACTGAAGGAAAATGAAACGAAAAATTTCCCTATAACTTTAGGTGTGAATGCTTTCAGGTAATTTATCTAATTAAATTTTAATTTGTTTGGATTGTAAATTGTATTTTCTAGGGGTTTTATGAATGAATTCATGTCGACAAAATCTGAAGAAAAGCCGAGCAAAGCGAAAAGGAAAAAGGAAAAGAAGCGGAAAGTGGAAAGTTACAAATATAATGGACACACCTTTCTCCAGACAATCATTAATATTCAAACGGCTTGCGAAATATGCAATTCGTTCTTTATGTGGCCCATCGAAAGAGGGCTCGTGTGCCAAAGTTGCAAACTTACTTGTCATAAAAAGTGTTACGGTAATTCCAGTACCTGCCAAAAAGAACCCGGACAGCCGGGTGAAAATAAGAGAATATTCGGTGTTGCGTTAGTAACCCTTGTGACTGACGAAAACAAAATTCCATTAGTCATAGAGAAACTTATATATACGATAGAAGTTAAGGGTTTATATACCGAAGGCATTTACAGGAAATCGGGCGTAAAATCGAAAATTACGGAGCTCAAAAATCAATTGGATGAAAATCCAGAAAGCTGTGAATTTGAGAAGTATCAGGTACATGTGTTGGCATCAGTTTTAAAGGTAAGCACTTCTTATTTTAGAGATAAATGTACTTTTTAAACCTTTTCGCTTGTTTAAATATCTCACCTCGGGGATAAAGGGGCATTAATCGTGATGCTGAAAATATATTGTGAAGTGAAATAGTTTTAGAACATATTTGGAGCTCTGTTCATAAATGAACCAATCAAACAAGTCAGGGGAATGAATGAACATTCGAAAATGAGTATGCTTAACAACGCGGAAGAACTAATTTGATTATTATGTTTTGGTTTTAGACCTGTGAAATGAATGACACTGAATTTTGTTTTTAGACTTTCCTGCGTGAAATGTCTGAACCGCTACTTACGTTCGAATATTATGAAAACTTTATTACGGCGGCAAATCTGGAAAACGACAACGATAGGATAACTACATTATACGATATTTTGAAAAAGTTGCCATCTCCAAACTACGACTTGATGGAGCGTCTAGTCTTTCACTTAGCACGAGTGGCTTTACATGAGGAGACGAATCGAATGAGTTCATCATCATTGGCTATTGTATTTGCTCCTTGTGTTTTGAGAACCAATAAACGCGTACCTGCTCAAGAAAGCTTACATGATATTACCAGTCAGACTCGCTGCATTGAAACCATTATCAAGTAAGTTTTCTTTTAATAACAAACAATTAATTGAGACTCTGCAACAATTACCAATTACGCCCAGTGAGCACATTTTTCACTCGAATAGGGATACACTGCAATTGTGTGCAAAATTTGTGCCTATTTGCGGCTACTGTTTAGTGAAGTGAAGTGTTAAGTAAAGCACCGTAGCACGGCACAATTTAGGATAACATTTGGAATTTTGATTGCAGTTGTTTCTTGACATACTGGTTCAACTCCGAAACATTTCCTACTCACTTCCGCATATACAGGGCGTCCCGATAAGGGTAAAGATCGGCTGTATCTCGACAACGGTAAGGACTAGCGGTTTGGGGGAAAATCCTTGCAGGTAAAGTTGGGATAAGAAATGGCTGCAAAATGTATTGGAAGTTCGTAGCTCGACCGACCGTTAGGGGGGCGTAGCTTCTACCCCAAAACTAAAAAGTTTTGGTGTCTCGGAAAAGTGGGGAGATGAGGAACAAATTTTTGTGATTTTTGGAAAATGGTTGAATAAAACGATACTTTTTATACAACGCACGGTTACACATCTTGAAATTACCTACATTTTAATGAAAACCGCATCGTGATATCTTCAGTCGTTCTCACTTTACAGAAGAGAATGTAAATATTTTTCGTTTTTGTTCGAAAATCGGATCAAGTTGACAGAGTCAGACACAAATCACATTATATTTTACTTGGTGCGCTAGTTTTTGTAAAAAATATTCATTTTACTAACGCGGAAGCGTATGATATGTTGCGTATTTGTTTCGATTGTTTGGAAAATATTGCAATTGCGTCGAGATATATAGACAATCTGCAGAGCGATGTCTTTACTGAACTTTACTTCTAAGGAGATTTTTCCCCAAGCCACTAGTCCTTACCGTTGTCGAGATGCAGATTTAAGAGTAATTCCTTCTTTTCGAAATACGCAAATAAAGATTGTGATTGAAAGAAAACAGTACCAAACTTGTTGTACCCCCCGTTTCATATTTGGGTCTTAGGTTAACATAGCTGTTAAGGAGTTACTTTAACACAAATCCTAAACGTTGCGGTCGATTACTTCGATTCAGGCAACAATGCGCTGGGTGCCAATTTAAAGCCTACAATGTGTAACAGTAGACATAATTCATATCTAGCGTATAATTAGGCACTCACCATGACGTCATTCAATATTTTGTGTGAAATTTGACTCGAAATAAGGTAATCGTGACTTCCTTTTTCAGAATAAAATGCTCACTGGGACATCAAAATATTTACTCGTGTGATACTATATATAGTGATATGATTTAGAGTTATTGACGAAGGAATTATTTACAACTAGGGTCCAGCTCAAGAAACTACGACTAACACTAGACGATATAGATACTCTAGACACAGCTTGTCAAGCGGCGTCGAATCGATTGTCTTCACTGCGAAGTTCAAAGGTATTTAGCCCGGACGAGTTGCTGCCCAGCAGCCAACCATCCGAGCAACAAACAGATGACGAAGAACATCTTCTAGTGGATCATATACAGGAGATTCAGAAGGAAAAAGAACATTTGACCTCAAACTTGCCTACTTTAAGTCACGCCACATCAGATGACGATATGCTATCGACCGATGGAGATGGCAGTTTAGATGACCTTACTTGCTTAGGTAAGTTTCCGTGGTTTTCCGTGTCATAATATATGGATACTCGAGAGGCAAACGTATTTGTCGTCATCATGTCAAAAGATTGAAACATTTTTCGTAGACTTGAAGTTCTCACAATGGTCCGTTTCGTATCAAAGAATGTACGAGCAACTATATGTTCGGACGACGCCCAAAATTCTAATTGAATAATCATAATGTTGAGTTTAAATATTTTTTTCTTTGCAGTGGAAAAATAGGGCCTCATACACGTTACTTATCATACAATAAGATGTTAACGAATTACGTTTTTCATTTTTCAACAACAACAAGGTAAAAATGCAGAAATGTAATAAATTTTGTGACAAATAAATATTCGAACGTGTATTTGATTGGCCAGGAAAACCTATATTACGCATGCGTCTGTTAATAACCTTAGTGTGCTTAGTTTATTATATGCCAGTTTGAGTTGGATAAATTTCATATTTTCACATAAATGCATGGAAAAAATATGCGTTGTGTTGCAACAGATAAAAGGCTACGAGAAACTAATTTCTCAATACAGTAAAGACAAATCAGTGCAGAAAGTTTCAAATGTCCTAAATATTGTTAGTTGTGTTATAAAAAAAAGTTCTGGGAGACTGCTAGTGTTGCTGTTCGTTCAGGTTCGTTTCGGTAAAAGTTCAGGCGGACCCCGTATTATTTACTGACGTTTTACTTACGTCGTGTTTGTAAAGATCTGTAGGTCCAACAAAAGATGCACCATGACAAATTCAAGTGAAAACAGGAAGCAACTTGAAAAGTATCGCGCGAATTCGAAGAATGAACTCGACTTCGTCTCGGGTGTCAAACGCCGTCGTCGTTCGAAAAACGACACTTTTCGCCCTTGTATCGAAAACTACTATTACAAAGTGCAAAAAAATATCGTTATATCACTGAAACATTACATAGTTGTGTCCCAGTTGCTTAAAGCAACAGTAGAACGCAAAAATAATGCTATTCTAATAATAATCTGTAAAATTAGCATGTTTTTCATGTGAGCTAGAATGAAAATCTGAAGATTGATTGAAAAACCGAATTGTCACAGTATGGTTAGTTTATTGTGAAAACTTCTCATAGTGTTTGACTTGTAAGAATGATATCGACTGCATCAGCAATTGTTTTTTCAGGTGGTGAGAAGAACAAGGCTAAACCTGTAGTGAGATCAATATCGTCTGGAGACTCGAAACAGAATATTCTTCCGAAAATCAAGTGGCAATCTTCTTCAGACGCCAGTGGAAAATTGGTGGAGGACTGTGATGTAATGGTATAAGATACATACAACACACCAGTTGATATTGTTCTCATTCAATACTTGTGTTGTACATGAAGTAAGTATAAACGATTTCGTTACATTTATTCAGTTAAAAATAGGATGAAACATAACAGAACTAGCATTGTCGAAGTAAGGGATATATTATGGACACATTATGGATATATTTAATAACTAATTTGAATAAGCCGATGAGTGATCCAAGTGGTTTTTGTGTTAATACTGTTAAATCTTATAGTAATAAAATAACTGAGTAGTTACAATGCAACAACTACTGCTTCAACAATGCATATTTGTCGTCCAATCTTTGAATACTTTATGAACCCGATCGCATGGTGTTAAAATCAAAATTTAATGGTTCTCAATTTTTTGTGATTGTATAAAGTATAAATAGTGTCTGAACAGATGTACATATAATGGCGACTGTGTATCTTAGCAGATCAAATTTATATTTTAAAATCATTGTACCATAGGCTGTTTTTTTTTTTGTATATGAACTCTAGCACATTTGCTTTTTTAATTTAGTAATTTTTTTCTTAATTGCAATCAGATGTTATGATAAAAGCCGCCTAAACCATGACAGTTAAAGTATTATTTTACATCGCGATTGTGATTTGATGGTGTATGGATATTTTACTTACTGTTTAGAAAATAGTGCCATGCAGTTACGCTTATTGCTAAATTTATTGTTTTTTATGTTAGCTCTCATTTAATCTATGTGTTAAAAATCCTTTTAACTACCACTACTAATGGTAATAGTATGTACATTATAATATGTATATAGTGTATTTTTCTCTTTCCAGAAGTCTATTAATTTATCCGTTTTCAAGTGTGTCTTCTGATATGCATTATTATAGACAATTCAAAGGATCTAGAACCCCTATTTACTATTCCACTACTTGGTGGCAGAAATAATCACGTTTGTTAGTTTTTTTATAATAGATTATATTAGAATACCATGTTAGTTTATTTTGTTTGCAGAAGTTCCAACTTACTAATTACTAACATTGAAATTGCATGACTAAGTTTAAATGTTGAGATGAAACTCATAAAACTGCAATAAGAAGTCGATAATTCGAGCGATTATCTGAAAACGTTGCAATACTAGAAAGGACATTTACGTCTTTACTTATACTTCTGGAGTCCAAGTATGCATCAACATTTTTGATTTAGGCAATCCTACGACAAGAACAGGACAAAACTGAATTATGAAATTATTTCAGCAACCAATGTTACAATTAGCAGAAAGTTAAAATTTATATGTGAACATAAATGTGTTTTTTTTGTTTGTACTCTATATTTGCACTTTCCACCTTCACCTATTTTTCAGACATAAATGTTTACCTTTTTAAGTGGTGGCTATTAAAATTTCCTATTAATGCTATGTTGATTTCGTGCGCATATTAATAAGTTCAAGCGGATCTTCACTGGATTTGTTACGACCACATAAAAAATTATAAAAAAATGTAAACATTGTTTTCTGTTTTACCAACATTTATTGCTTATATTAATGCTTATATTATTACTTTTTTCATTACATATTTTTTCTGTCGTACCATTGCCATATCTAAGCACTACTTGTCATTCGTATTCAGTATTTATCAATTATATTAAACCGCTAAATAACATAATTTAGATGAATTTTCTCCCCAAGTGTTTGCTCAAATATTTTGGACATAGAAATGCACGAACTGGTTTGCTCAATAAAGTAATATGATGGTGACAGATAGATCATTGTATTTGTTATATTTTGTGTTATTTGCTGCATGGCTTGTCTCATTTCGCCGTCTAAGTATGAGAGTAAATTAAAAAAGCCAATGCTTAAATCTTTCGCAAAATTAAAAATCAAGTGTCACGTGGTTCGTTAATAATAATATAATTCTATCTATGAAGCGGCTTGTGCCTAATTTTGCTTTTAAAATAAAACCTCCCCACATTTCCAGGTCTAAGACTTTTCAATCTCTTTCATATATGTATAACACTTAATGTAAGTTAATTTGTACACATTCATTATGGATGGTTTGGTTGCAAGAAGTCCAGATTTGATCGTTTTTTTTAACTGTATGGTTTCTTGTATATATGTAATTATCTTTAATCTATATTGTTAAAAAGCAATTAATTGTTTATCCGAAAAATGTGATTTAAAGGTGCGTAATGTTTAAATCTTAGTCATAAATATTATCTGATATGTTATTTGAAAGTGATTTTAGGAGTACATTTGATTTTAATCCAACTTTAGCGAAGATGTAATTCCAGAGTAGATTTGAGTTCACTAATTCTTGTTTGTTAATGTTCTATATTCGTTTCCATTAATATAAAAAAGTTAGAAATATAAACTGAAAGTTATTCAGAACCAATAATTATGTTTCCAAATGGAAACATTTTGAAAGGTATCATTTTGATGCTAAATATTCATGATAAACTGCTGGACCAAAAACATGTTTTTTTATTAATTGCTTGCCGGTAGATTTAAAAGCAGTAACTACAGGCAAACACCCAAAATTTATATGACAAAGTTGAGTTGTGGACTTAACCGCAGTATAGATAGATGCAAGCCGAATACGCATACAAAAATCAGGGACAACAATTTTTTGAACAAAATGAGCAAATAAATTTTATAATCATAATATCTCGTCTTGATAAAACATATTTATTATACTAACAATGTTGACCACGGGTTAGCTTTCATGATTGCTACCCAAAACGTTCTTCTTCTTTACTCAAATGGCGCAGCTCCTCTGGGCTATTTGCCAGCTCATTACCCAAAACGTTAAATCACAGTTAATACACTTCTAGTGACTGCTTTTAAATTTACAGTTGCTTTGTAAAGTGGTTAATATGCTTTTTCAGCCTGTTTTATGATAATTCCTATAATATGCATATATATTTAATTACATTTAGACGGAAGTAAACAATATTTGGGTCTATTTATTTTGCTCTCAATATGAAACTGTTCGTATATCTATGTTTTTTAATTAAAATACATACTTACTTTTTGAAATATTTAACTTAATAAACAAAATGCTCGCTCAAGTAAAAAGGCTCTTCTGCGTCACAATTGCTCTTAAATAAGATTGGTATCGTGTGCAAAATAAATAAACCTGAATATGAGTGGACGTTCAATAAAATACTCAGTCTTTTTATATCGTCTACTTTTAAGGTAACAATATCCTAAGTAGTTTAAAAGCGCAATAAATTTGTCGAGATATTTAGACGTTGTATGTCTTTGATGGATAAGCAATTCGATTTCGCAGTTTTACTTTGTTTTATTATGGTTTTATACCGAATTCGCCATTCTACATTCTTTTACTGAGTGTTGTTCTTAATCAAAAGTGCGGTAATCATACCGCACCGGTTTCATACCGGTAGATTTAATTTGATAAAATAAGAACAACTTTCTTTATAATTTGCCTTTAATATCGCCTGCATTATACTTTCATTTTGCAAAATTGCATTGTAAATGTAGATTTATTGTTATTTGATTTGTTGGGGGCATTTAAGTGACTGATTTTTTATACAGTATGGTAATCTAAATACTAATAATAATAATTATTATTAATGATATACCAAATGTTAAAGTTAAAACATATATTAATGGTTTATGTCGAATTGGACAAAGTTATAAATAATTTGTAAATAAATAAATATGTTCAATATTTCTAAATGATTGTCTGATTTTTATCTTCTGAATATTCATATTAACATTTTTGTCGAAAACGAAAGGTAAACCCCCAAAGATGTTTCTCAAGGAAAGAACGTTTTTAACTAGAAAATTTGTGCAAAGTATGTATGTAGAAAATGTTCCGAATAATCGGACGATTTGAAAGGTGTCGGACAAAGTTGAAATTCAATAGTTCTCATATGCGATTATTTCTGGCTGAAAAAAACAACCATTTTGACTCATCGTGTAGGTGACAATGAACGCGATTTTAACCTATAAACCCACTTTTTCGCACTTGTCTTCATCTATGCTTTTACGCTTTTACGAAAAATACGCAACAAGTTCAAAGTTGTGTGTTCAGTAAAGTAGAGTGCGCTCTAAATGACGACACATTTTCGTTAAGAAAATTTCCTTAGAATTTGAAAATACTGTTGCATCGAGTTTTTTGAAAATACATTTCTGAGAAACGAAAAATACTCTATAACTTCAGAGTTGTGCCTTCAGTAAAGTAGAGTGTGCTCTAAATGTCGTTAAAGTTCATTCAAATCGCATGAAATCCTGAAAGTCACCCAAAATATTCCCAAAGTTTAAAAAGTCTTGTGAGGGAATCAATGGTTTAATCGGAACCAAATCCACAATACCAGTAAGCTGATACTAATTGCATTGAATACTGGAACCCACATTTCCATATCTGAAGCGGTTCTTTAGCGAAAAGCTTCAGATGAGCTTAATATAAAAATACAAACCCGGCCAAAATATTCTCAAAGTTTAATAATGAACTACGAAAGAACCAATAGTGGAATCGATACCACATCCACCCGGTGAGTCAGTTGATGAATCTGGGTTAAAAGTTCTACATGTACATGGCAACCAGCGGCAAAGTAATGCTAATCTTACCGAAAGCTGCTTAGTGCCACCTAGAACGAAAGAAGAAAATGTGTGTATATGAAAATGAAAATAGCTTTATTGGGGAAAACACTGGGTGTTCGCGGTACAATAAGAACCGGTTCAGAACTCGTTCGTTACCGCAGAACAAACAAAACATAAGGTTGGATCGGCATCGGGACTAGCTCCCGGTATAATAATTTATTTTATTTGTTAGGAGAGATTGGACACTTTTGTTTGCGGGCGACTTTTTATCGCCTGGTGCCACCAGCATTACATTATTTTTTCTAATTCAAATTTATGGCTTTATTTGTCTATTCTTCTACTCCGATCAATTGGTTTTGACGATTTGATAAGTGATTTTGCCACAGAAAAATAAAAAAATAAAATATTTTTAATTTTATAATAATTTGTAAATCACTGTTAAGTTTACGAATTATTAAGTTTTTTATGTTTATCGCATTTAATTAACTAATTTTGATCAGAACGCCAATGTAAAAAAAACTAATAACTAAATAATAAACATGTAATTTTTAGCCTCAGGGTGAATGGACAAAGCTATAAATTTGAATTAAGGAACGGGATGCAGAGAAAAGGTGGTCGGTGGTACCAATTGTACCACCAGCGGTGAATGTTCAAAAAAATGCAGGTCAACTACAGCAGAGGTAAGATCTGCGTTTGTGCAGTGGCTTTTTAAATTAATTAATTAAATGCGATAAAAAAGGTCAATAATTATTTTCTATTCAGAAAAATACAACTACCACTTTTCGCAGAGAAACCATGATGATATAAAAACACAGCAAATCCGTCTTTCCACTTTCACTCCATTGCATTTCCGTTTAAGGAAATTACTGTTAGGCACAAAATAACTAGTTGGTACTACTAAAAGCTGGTTCTAAACGCGTTCGCGGAACGGAGGAATCGGTTCTGAACAGGTCCTGAACCGATCTGCGCCCTAATTTGGTTCCTTATCGGGTCTGAACCGATCCTGAATCGCTACCGCAATAAAGCTAATAACAGCAGGAAATATGTCCAAAGCCAACCTTATTTGAAATCAGCAATGCAAAGAGAGAGAAATATAAAGAGTTCACAAAACTTCAGCTGCTTGTCGGAAAACTAAACTCAGTTCAAGCTAAATTATTTATAGTTTTATTAAATTTTTATAGTTATTACTTACTAGCTTTTTGCCAGCTGGCGCCCCATTCTCCATTTTCTAACGTCACCATTAAGTTTCACACTACACTTTCACAAACTACCGCATTGGCCATAAGGGCCACAATAATTCTATATTTCCCATCTAAGAATGCGATTATTGACTGACTTCGTCTACTGTCCGTAGTAAACTGAACATTTATTCACATTTTTTAGAAAAAGACACCGAACTACAGAATAAACATGATTATTTAATAATTTAATTGGGCGCCCTTTCGATGATTCATGCTTTACTTGGCAGTTGTGCCAAGTACAAAGTGCCTGTTCGCACGGCAATATTTCTAAAGGCAAATTTCACGTTTCAACTTCTCAACGACGGCGAGAGTCAACTGCAACTAAACGAAAAACGATCCAAGTGCCGATCTTTCACTAATTTAATTTTACATTTAAAGCCATTTATGTTTGTCTGAATTTCACTCAGCTGCAGTGATCAAAACACAACGCCAAAACTAAAACGAATAATCGAATTAAATATAATTTTCTAAAAATATTGACTAAACAAAAAAACCGCGGAGAAATCACTTAAAAATGCAACTGTTGCTCAATTCCTGCGTAATGATAGAAGCCAACGAAATTCCTAAAAACTAATTAAAAATGCCCTTTAAAAGTTCTGATTTCAAGAATTATTTCTCCACAAGCGCAATTCGAGGAGTGATGATAGACGCGCAACTCAACACTGTGTTACCCAGGTCTGATGGGACCAGATGGATACCCAGATGGGAATTACGTATTTCCGTTATCCGACGGGTTATTTCAAATGGTAAATCGAAATATTACTGAATATTTCATTTTCACTAATTTTAAGGGAACATATTTTTTGAGCCACCTTGTAAGGGCAGAAACAAATGCTATTTGTGTTTAGAAAACGAGGGTAAAAATTTTGAACAGTTGTTTGAAGAAGAATATCTTAAAGTATTTTTTAGATTTTATTTTAAATATTTAAAACTTTTTCCATACAAGGGCGAAAAGTGTCGTTTTTCGAACGACGACGGCGTTTGACACCCGCGACTATGTCGAGGGTGTCATTCCGTCAGGAGTTCCAAAGAGTTGCCAAAAATAAAAGGCCTCGACTTCATATTTAAAATTTAATTTCAATGCCATTTTTTAAATTGTCACGTTTTGACGTTTATAATTTTTCAAAAGCGTACTTTTGTAAGCATATACAAGAGAAAATTCGAGTGCTGCTTGCATGGTATGGTGTTTGTATAAGTTGCATATCTTGCAAGACATTTGCGCTATTTAAAAAGATCATGCTTCGCGTGTGGCAACATCGGCGAGCGCAAAAAAATAGACCATTAGAACGACTTTGAGACTGAACTTGCAACAAAGTTATAATTTACGAATTGTAAGTAAACATTAAATTATGATCAATAGTTGTCTATAAACCTGCGTAATTCATGAAAAATGCCTGTCGGTCACTTTTTAATGAAAATACTTTATTTTTATGATATTTAAAAAAATATTATGACAGTGTTCAATTCGTCACATTTACTTTTGCGCACATGTGCGTAAAAGTCCTTGCGTAAAAGTAAAACAAATGAACAGTCGGGAAAAGTGCTTCTATTTGATCGTCGCTTCTGGTCGAAAAATGGCGGTTTTTCATTCATTCGAAAAAAACCTGTTGCAATTTGACAATTGCTCTTGGAGTGTTGAAAATGCAGGCACGTATTTACAAGTTCTCGAAGATTTATTAAAAAGCCGATCAAAACATAACTAATTGTCAATATGTCATTAAAATCAATTTAAAAGGGGCTTTGAGAATTTGATAACAAAAAACAGGGCCGTATTTAAAAAAAATTAGTTGATAGGCATTTCTTGAAAACGAAACGGTGAGCCAAAAAAAGCTGATATGGTAGTATTAACGCTGACTTAATGAATGTTGCTATGAGAAAGTCTAGTGGGTTTTGCTCCAACTTTGATATTAAGCCAGAAAAAAGTAATATTGAATTTCGAAATTTTCAGTTTTTTTCAAATCATTCAGAAACGACTCTTATCAAATAATTAAAAGCCCCATTTTATTAGTCTTGCAATTGCCCGACTTTTTTCCCAATCAATCAACTGCGTACCACTTACGGTTTTCGATTATATTCCTTATTACCTTGGACACAGTTTACACTGAAGTTGGGTAGGGACTGTCTGTTGGACTTTTAGGCAATGAAAATGTATACGTCCATAATAATGAATTACAAAAAAAATTAAATTGTTGTATTTTCGAGAACTTCATATTTTGCGATTAATAAGAAAATCAAACAGCACACACCCTGAGATAATTTTATTTTTTTACAAACTT